TAGAACCATACGCATTAGGTTGAAAGATCACAGAGGTTAAGGCTGTGCTGGTGGACACATTTGGAACAGTGCAAGAATGTTAGGCTGGGACAGCGATGGCGAACCTTTTTTGGCTTGTGTGCCATAAGTGGGGGGGGGGAGTGCAGGGGGGTTGTGCACAGACGTGCTGCACCCATAATACAATGTATGCCCCCCCCAGTGGGCATGCGTGCACTACAGGTGCGACCCCCCATTTTTTGCATCCTTTTTTTGTCCTCCCCAGGCTCTAGAGGCTTTATAGGAGCCTGGGGAGGGCGAAAAAAGCCTCCCCCAGGAGGCCCTCCGGAGGCTTCAGGGACCTTCAGGAGGCTTCCCTGAAGTCTCCTGAGCACTTAAAACGACCCTCTGAGCAAACCGGAAGTCCGTTCCCGAACCTCTGGTTTGCCCATAGGGCAGGGTTTTTTTTTGCGCTCTGGAGGCTTCAAGGAAGCTCATGAAACCTCTGGAGGGCCTCCGGGGGGGCGGGGATGCTCTTTTTGCCCTCCCCAGGCTCCTATGAAGCCTCTGGAGCCTGGGGAGGGTGAAAATGGCTTTTAAAAAGGGTGAACTCAGTTGGCCAGCGCGCACATGCGCGCTGGCCAGCTAACAGGGCAGCGCCTCACGTGCCCTGACAAATGGCTCTGTGTGCCACCTGTGGCATGCGTGCCATTAGTTCACCATCCCGGGGCTAGGAAATAGTTACTATGACAAGAGTTGTGGAAAATGAAAAAGGAATCTTACACTGAAATTAAGGAAGTATTAAAATGGCTTCTTCTTAGTTAAGATATCATGTCTTTTAAAAATGGTAAAGGTACTGTATATCTTTTACAAAAATAATTCCCTCAAAGGAAAATCCATAAGTAGAGACTAGGCCAGTGATGGATAACCGTTTTGTCATTGTGTGCCAAAAGCCATAATGCAATGCATGCGTGATCCCCCCCACATGCATGAATGCATGACCTCTGCATGGGTACACGACCCCCCCCTTGCACTCCCCTGTGCATATGCATGCAATCCCCCACACTCCCCTGATCCCGGGCATGCATGTGACCCCCCTGCATACACCTATGCCCAGCACATGCACGCACAACCCCCACGCATGCATGCACAACACCTGTGGCATGCATGCCATAAGTTCGCCATCACGGGACTCGACTATGGAGGATGATGCTTCTGAAATGCTTTAAGAAGCCAGTTTATGAGATACACCTTTTAATTTTGCATGTCCATCTTATTTTCAGATAGAATCTATAAATTTTGGTTGGCCATAGCAACAAAACTAAAGCTTGTGGAGAGGAAAGCCTTTTCCTTTAGACTATGTCCCCATGCATTTATCTTCATGTCTGCCACAAAGATGATGAATTCTTTTTGATGCTGTGCTTTACAATGAACTGTAGGAATATAATCTAATGGTTGCAATATAAAAATCATGTAACAATGTTGTAACTGTTTCTTTAAAGCAGGGGTAGTCAACCTTTTTATACCTACCGCCCACTTTTGTATCTCTGTTAGTAGTAAAATTTTCTANGACTACTCTGTGAGAAACATCCCACAGAGAGAATGTAACAAGCCTAAAGTCACCTGGAAACTACCATGGCTGATGCTGCACTTGAACCCAAGGCTTCCAAGGCTAATCGAACATTAATAACTATATGGATTCTCTACCCCCGTTGTTGCCATTAAATCAATTCTTTATTCCTATTCTCTGGTTCTACAAGGATATTCACCAAATGCAGGGTCAAACTAAAGGTTGATCCATTAGTATGAAATGATCAAAGACTATGGTGAAATTGTATTTCCTTTTTACAGGGTTATTTGTTCTCCAAATGTCTGTGGTGTTTCTCTGGGAATGAATGCTAGTGAGAGAAACCATTTTTCGTCTTAAAAATTTCTAGGAAGGATGCTATATCTTAAATGTGGTGCAAATTCACATTGTACAATCTGTCCCAAATTAGAAGGATAACACAGCAGGAGGCAGCCTAACACCATTTGATATGGTCTAAAGTTTCTTTCCCCATTCCATTCCTGAAGAAGAAGAAAAAAAGTGTGTGTTGGGGGGAAGTGTTTTTGACTATCTGATCTTTCAAGGACGAGCCCTTTCAAAGTCCAGAAATTTCCACACAGGCATTTTCCAAACCTTTTCTGGGGGTTAAACAGCCAGAGAGTATCAGTTCCTGGGTGATTGAAAAGACTCTCTGTGTTAGGTATCTTTCAGTGTCTTCGATGGAGGAATGAACTAGTCATGCAAATATTATATGGTTTCTGAAATGATATTGAATTGTAAGAGCTGGAAGATCTATTTATTTCAAGGACAACAGTGGTCTGAAGACACATCTCTGTGCATTATCCTAGTTTCACTTTCTGGAAGCTATTCTATTCTGTGGCATTCAAACAGGGAGAAGACGTCCCTCTATATCATAGTATGGTAAGCAGGGATCAGTAATTATCCATGTTGGGCATTTGCCACTTATCAGCATTTATCTCCTGCCTTAAGGAGGTCTATGAATATGCAAATTTATAGGTGTCCCTATGATTAGCATAGTATAAAGGTGTTAGCTATCCCCTGAAAGAACCTCAACATAGCTCTGAAATGCTGAATGTTGATCATTGGCAAAGAGCTCATTGTCTAGCTCATCATATCTTATGTATTCTCTCTGACTCTCTAAAAAACTGACCATTGATCTTTGGCAAAAAAAGGAGTTTAACCATATTAAGGTCTTTATGATAATAATAGAAAAAAATATTTTACCTCTTTTGTACTAGTGTTCAGTGGTATATTTAAAGATATTGATTCATCACTGGATATCTTCTTAGACAAATGAATGCAATTCCATTCATAGTGTGCCTGAAAGAGACATTGGTATAAAACAAAATGTTGCTATGAAATTGGAGCAGAATTATGAGACAAAATATCCAAGAGTCCTGCATTTGAGTAAGGCTATGTGGTAGAGCATAATTTGGGACATGCGCTCACCTACAGCCAACTGCTTGCAAAGATTATTATTGTTTAACACAGCAATACATAAATAAACTATAATTTATACTTTTTATATTATATAAATATATTAAAATATAATAACAAAAATAAGCAATACATAAATAAGCGGACGTCTATGAAGGATGTCTATGAAGATTCTAAGTCATCTAGGTGATAGTTGTTCCAAAGGTGCTTTTTCAAGAGGCAACTGGACTGAAGAATNGCTTATCTTAACAATTGTTTGTTGAACAAGCCAGCATTAATTGCACAGATAAGCAATGTACGCATGGTGCATTGATTAATTCCTGATATTTCTGCAGTAAAATGATTTTAACTTTGGGAAGGATGCAGAAACAAACTAGAAATAAATCAATGAACCATAAACAAAACGTATAGTATCATATAAACTTGTTAATGTGCATTATTAATAGTAGGCTAATCATTAATCATGGTTGAAAATTAATGTTCAAGTAATACAGCAAAGTATGATCTAGTCATTGTTTCCATTTGCATGTACTACCAAGCCAGAAACCAACCACAGCACTGACTGGTATAACATATTACAAAATTTAACATGTTAATGTTCATATCAACCAGAGCGAAGACTATAGTGAAAATTTAAAGAAAAAAGAAGGAATCTGATAGGGGTAGTATACTCTTTTTATACATTTCATCAACCAAAGCCAAATTGTGAGAGTAAAAGTAAAATCTTCATCATATGAATTAATGTTAGCACTGTTGAAAGCCAGAAATTAACTTGTTTGGGTGAAGCTTTGATTATTTTCAACTGAAGTCTGAAATACGGCTAGTGCCAAGCACAAGAAATCAGGAAATCCAGGCAGTTCAAATGACTGTACAGTTTTATTGCAAGCTTAAGCTCTTTACAAGAATCTGAACTACTAACAGCCAACGCAAATTGGCGGCAGAGTCAATGGAATTCAAGGTGGGCTGGACTTAAATCTCCTGTAGGTGCAAATGAACTGGAAACTGATAACATTTGATCTTTCCCTCAGCCTGGTCATCTCTTACAGCTGCTTTATATTACCTATGTCTGGATAATTTTTGGGGAGAAATGTAAAATATGAGCAGATATTTTGATTACTTTCAAATAAACTACACTTATTTTCTTCCCTCCCACTCTCTCTGTGTATGTGTTTGTGTGTGTATGTGTGAAAAAAAATCTTGACAGTGTCCCAGATTTTATCAACAGATTGTAGGATTCCCCAACGTCTATCAAAAATCTTCTTATCCAGTTGACGTCTGAGCTGGAATGACACTTCTTGTTCACGTCACACTTTTGAGGTAGGCAAGTGAAGCGTTAGAGAGCCTTTGCCCAAGGACCCCCCACTGGTAAGATAGGGTACCAGCCAGGAGTTGAATCCAAGAATCCCACATAAAAAGTGGCACTTCAATGTATGCTGCATTATCTAGCCACTCATCAGAAGATGGCGATGGTGATAGAGCAATGCCAAATTACAGCAAAATCAAGAAGAAGTATAAGAAGCTGGAGAAGTAGCAATAGCAATTATAGCAATTAGACTTATATACCGCTTCATAGGGCTTTCAGCCCTCTCTAAGCGGTTTACAGAGTCAGCATATTGCCCCCAACAACAATCCGGGTCCTCATTTTACCCACCTTGGAAGGATGGAAGGCTGAGTCAACCCTGAGCCGGTGAGATTTGAACAGCCGAACTGCAGAACTGCAGTCAGCTGAAGTACCCTGCAGTGCTGCACTCTAACCACTGCGCCACCTCGGCTCAAGTACCAAGATCTGAAGGTGGAAATAGAGTGCAAAAGAAAGTGGGAAGTGGAAAGTAAAGGCGAAAGTAGTTCCAGTGATGGTGAAATACTCAAAACTATGACTCCTAAACTAGGAGAGTTTCTCCAACTGATTCCATGAACAACAATAGTGTTCTCTGCCCAAAAGAGTGCAATGCTAGGGACAGCTAAGATCCTGAACAGAACAAAGGCCTACTCTTAGACCTTTGATAGAGGACCCAAGATTGAGGAAGATACATATCATCCTTAGAGGGTGAGAATGGAATTTTTGTAGATATATATCTAGAGAGAGAAAGTATAAGTATGATAAATACATTCCCAAATGTATTCTGCTGGCAAGCAAGTAAATTAGGTAAAAAAAATAGGTAAATTAGGTAAAATTATAGGCAAGAGACTAAGAAACAATCAGCCAATGATTTGGATTGGAATTGGGCTTTGTTTAATGCAAAAGGTATAATCCTAGGAACTGCAAACATATGATTTATTGGAAAGTTACAAACAACACCAGGAGTAACTGACACACCAACTCCCCTCAGTTTTCTACGTTTCTGTTTCTAACCACATTTCAAGAGGGAGGCAATAGTTCTCCTTTAGGGAGAGATACATTATCTGCTCTCCCAAAAACCCTATCTCACTGTCTGGAAAATGTCTATAGAGTTCCCCTTTTGTACATTTTGTAACAGGCTTGGTAGAAAAGCATGCATGAGTCACACACATGGTTGTCCTGTCATTTCTTCAAAAGGTTTCTCAGAATACAGCTTTGCTGTTAATAATTTATCAGAAGGCAAATAATCTTCCTAAAACTGCAAAACCAGTAGACCCAACTCCTAGATCAGTGATTGTTAACCTTTTTGTCGCGTGACAAAAGCGCATGCACTCGCACCCATAATGCAATGTGCATGCGACCCCCTCTCCACATGCCCCACCCACTGCACATGCAACCCCTAAGCTATTCCTGCACGAGCGCATGACCCCCCCCCCCGCATGCTGTTTTGGGTCTAGTAGGCCTTTTTGCAGCTTCCTGGGAGCACTGCCTCCTTCCATGCTCCACGATTGCAATCACCCTCCCCCTATGCATGCACATGCTACTCCCGCATGTGCCCTCCCCCTGTGCATGCATGGAAGAGACCCAAAAACCATCTGGCCGNACTTTCTTTTTGGGAATAATTTCTATTCATAATAGATTATAATATGAACACTTACTTTGGCCCTCTTTAAATCTATTACTGCTTCAAGCATAGGTATCTCTTCAAAGGTCCTCATCACAGATTCAAGATCTATTAAGCACCCTAAACAAAGATACTCACTATTAGGTCTCTTAACAGAAAGTTTAAATTATGGAAATTACATTCCTGAAAAATATTTTAAAGCATACTCCCTAAGGCAAATTTGAAGGATGTCAAAACCAACTATTCCTGGGTAAAACTATATATACTATATCCAACAGACAGGGAACAATTAATGTTTATTAGTTGTTTTAACACAATTACCCTAAGAGATTTAGATTCCAGAAAGTCTTTATGGTCTCCCAGGCCTTAGTGTAGGATGAATTGAATTCCTTATTAGATATGTTTGCAGTATGTTACATATTCTTGTGCTAAACAGTCACTTAGATTTGCCATTTTGCTTATTTTTCTTACTGAATGCTTTGTTTATTTAGTTATTATTTATCTTATTATTTTGCTTACCTTATTGTTTGTTCTTATATTGTGAGCTGACGGGTTATATAAATAAACAGTGTGTGTATTCTGCTTGAAACATTGCTTTCAGGTTCACCAAATGTTACCCAAATTTGGTATTAACAGAATTACAATCCAAGCCTTGTTATGACCCCAGTCTCTCTCTCTCTCCAGTAGCTCAGTCAAATTGAACAGGATGAACCTGCCAGACCCCACCTGTGTGGACTGTATTATCATCTTGAGATTTTGTTGCGGATGCAACAAATATACAACAGCAGAGTGTAGCCAGAACTGCTGAGTTATCTATCATACAGAGAAACTCACTTGAAAAAGATGGTCTTTCCTCTGGATTGGGTGCCCAAGCAGATTCCATTAAAGACACCATCAATTCTCGGTAAGGAATATCAAGGGGCAAAGTCTCTTCCCCAACATCTGGACGCTTTCCTTGTGACATGCTAAACATAATTTGCAAGTAATGTACAACTTCTGCAAAAGTCAATATATACATGTTAGAAATATATATGCATTTCTTCCAATTTTAGAAATTGAAACGCAAGTAGTAAATTCATATTTTAAATAATATTGTGATCTAAACCTAATTTAGAAATTTTAAATGCAAAATAATTCTCCTGCCCTTCCTACCAATATTCTGTAATACATGGTATTTTATTACAATACAATAGTACAATACAATACAAGCTTAAGACAAAGCGGAAACAATGGGCTTTAAAAATGCTGTTGTAAAATAATCTAAATTTTAACAGGTTATTCTAACTCAGCTATTCTTTAACAGAATTAGATAGTCAAAAATCTGACCTTCGAATGGTTTTTTTCTGGACATCACTTCCCACATAATAATGGCATAACTGTTACAAACAAAAATGCATGTTAGTATGTATTTTTAAATTAGTTCACTCCCCCTCCCCCGAGGCAAAATAATCTCAATTTCTAAAATGAAAATATCCCAGTTACTGTTGTTTTGTGGGAAATCTACATCCCAATCTAACAGCAAAGCGAGGATATTAGTATTTAAAATATTCTCAGTGACTAGATTGGACAAATACCTTTGATATCTTAAAAAGACAGTAATTTCTTTATATATACAACATTATCTAGATAAATACATAAATATATAAAATAGACCTAATACAAATACAAGGATACTTTCTCAAATGTTTAGTTCTCAAATAACTAAATTTGTTTGTTTGTTTGTTTATTATATTTATATNCACTGCCTCCTTCCATGCTCCACGATTGCAATCACCCTCCCCCTATGCATGCACATGCTACTCCCGCATGTGCCCTCCCCCTGTGCATGCATGGAAGAGACCCAAAAACCATCTGGCCGTTGGGAGGTGTGTGTACATGCGTGGTGGAGCTGAGTTGGAGCATCGGCTCACATACCCACAGAGAGGGCTCTGCGTGCCACTTGTGGCACGTATGCCATAGGTTTGCTATCATGGTCCTAGGTGCAGCCACCTAAACTATCTCCGAATGTTAGCACTAAAGTGCAATTTTGAAAATAAAAATAAGTTAATGGGAATAATCCTACATACTGTATTTTAATTAAATCATATATACAGTATGTATGTATGTGTATATGTATGGGTGTGTATAATATTTATGTATTTATTTTAATACTTAAATATTCTCACCTTGCAATAAAAAACCCCACCTTTTGCACCATATGCTGCATTAAGAGAACTTGCAAACTTTCATAATTACTTTAGGGAATTATTAGTATTATGGATTTGCACTGCTATATTAAAGACTGCTTAAACCTGCCCAGGACCTAAATTGGACAGAATTTGCTTATGTGATCTTTCCTGCTTTATTTATTTAGAAAATGTATAAACCTGCTCATTTTAAGTATATTTGCAAAAAAAAAAAAATCTGTATAAAAGAAACCCACAATTAGCCCAAAATTAAAACAATCCAAATATAGAACACGGTACCATGTAATTTGTGAATGGGAAAGCATAACATCCCACCTCTAAAACATAAGGAAAAAGTCAGATCTTGCCAGCCTTCTGATGGCCAAGAGAGTTAGAGCCAAGAAAAGATTTATCTTTTCAATTGTGCTGGATTAATTTTAAATGAATTTATTCTTTTTCAATTCTTATTATTTTCTTACTCGACTTATTCAATTCTTATTCTATCACTTTTGTTTTTATTGGGGAAAATATTATTATGTTACTGTCTACCTACAATAAATTTGAAGTAAAGAGTTGGATACCTACTAAAATAAAGAAGCATAAACTGTGTGCATTGGTGATTTTTCTTTTGTTACCAAGTTATTTCATAACACATGTAGCCTGTGATTTGCCCCAAACATTTGTCTGACATTTGTTTTCTGATAGTGCTTAGCAACCAGGTACACATACACTGATTATATCTTGGCTCTATTCCCATCTCTTTAAATCAAAATATTTTGCTGTTAGTATGAGAAAACTCTAGGCCACCACAAGTGCTTTGATTCATGTTGTGGAGGCAGAATTCATGTTTCTTATTAATAGAAACATGACTCTGTCTTAAATGATAATGCAGAATGGGCTTTTCCTCTCAAAATCAGAGCAGCTACCCAAGTGGAAGTCTTCAGTAAACTGTCTGTGGTATATTCATGAACTATATATAGATAGAACCATAAGGAACTAAGAGTGAAATTAAGGTGGCAGTTTTTGACTCCTACTCACTGCCAGGACAAGTCCCTGCAAGATTTCATAAGTGGTTTGCCATTGCCTTCTTTCTAGGGTTGAGAGAGAGTGAAAGGCTCAAGGTTACCCAGATTATTTCATACCTAAAGTGGAAGTTTTCATGGATTCCTATTTTCTAGCTTGGTGCCCTAACCACTATACCAAATTGTCTCTACAGTTAATTACTAATTGAATTAAGGGGAAATACAGAAAATAAAAGTGGTGATACTTCTATTTATTAAACAAATAAAGACCAGCTGATGATAGAATTAAAAATGAACACTTGTAGTATAGTTAAAACACACACACACACACACACACACACACACACACACACACACACACACACACACCTACCTCTTGATCTAAACTTTGGAAAGTGGAGCTGGACTTTCAGGTGAACTGTATATTAATTACTATGTATCATTTTGCATTGAGCAAGAATTATTCCTTCCAATTTTTTAATTATTCTACCTATTTCATAATTTAGCAAACTATTAGTACTATATAGGGACAGATATTCAATTTATAGGATTGCTTTTTTATTGCCTAGTACTCTTTCTACATTGCACAACTGTCAAACCTTGCCCCATTTCTTTTTCATCCAGATGCATGAACTAGTTAGCTATAGAGAACTTTTGGTTATCGTAGCCCCACTAGCCTTTGAATGTATAACCTTGCCAGCTTAGAAACAAGCCAAGGAATCTCAAAATTTTTGTTATGGAAATTATAAGAGAAAGAAGTCAAATGAAAGTTTATCTTCATTAAATGAACGGGAAACATCCCTGATTATACTGATTCGACATATACAAATATGGAATACAATAAGATTTTTTAACATATATCATAGTATAGAATGAATCTTGTCAAGATTCCAGACCTTAACCTTATGTTGTTTTATGTAATGCTTTTTTCCACTTTACAAATAATGACAGTCAGCCCACTGATTCTGCCTAGGATTGTTTAACCTCCTCTGTCCTTTTTGGCTTACATTTTTTACTTTATAGTCCTGCAAGTCTATATAGTAATTGAATAATATAATCGGGAACAATACCAATTTTGCCTTTTTGTATTTGCTTGTACTAACAAGAAGTAGTTTCACAAATACAGGCACATTATATTACTTCTCAAAAATGTAGTTCCATTCTGACAATATTTGTAGAATTCTTCCACATCTTAATTTCGTAATGTAGACAGTGAGTTAACATATTAGCATTTTTACCAGAGGTCTTGAAAAGGGGTAATTCCCAATTAGTATGCCTTATGTGCTAGTATTTTAGAAAGTGTTCTGGATAGAGAATTGATCAGGTATGCTACAATTTGGATAGTTAGGTTCTGCCACATAGGAAAAACAAAAATTATCAGGCGTGCCTGACTTTATATGAACCAAGAAGTAACTTGTAATTGAGGAAGTGAAAATAGCAAAAGCACATGGAGAAATGCTGGCATTCTTGATTTCAAGGCAAACTAAACCTGAATGAAATGCAATCAACATCTCTAACTTTGAAAGCAGAGATTTTGAGAATAACAATGTATAGAATTCTATGACAAATAGGAAAAGTTGCCCACAATAGGTGAGAAATAAAATAAGGCTATGCAAAGCACTCAAAATGGACACTTCACAAGCTAGTTTAACATAAATGAACATATCTTGCTGAACTTTTAGATGTATAATCAGGAAATGTACACATTACTGGGAACATTCTTCCAAGCAACTGTACAAGCCTAATACTAAAAAGAAATTTGGAAAGAAATGGAGGATAACAAAATGATATTCAGTAAATATGCAAAAACATTACTGGAGATTTCAAAGCAAAAGAGGACACATTTAAGAGATTGTAAGAGAGCCATCTTCTCAAGGAATAGTGTTTACAGGAAGTCTGAAAGTATAGATGTGGTGTCAAGAAATCTCCAGCTCAGAAGGAGTTAAGACTGGCAGAGAATGCTATGAACAAAAGAAAGACTTCCAAATTATGATCAAATAAAAAGAACAAGGAGGAAAATTTCAATATACTAGCTCAGGGGCTCTCAACCCCTTCTCTGAGGCCCGTGGCAGCCAGGTCAGGCGAGTGCACGAAGCTCCATTTTTATAAGCTCTTCCCCAGCTCACTAACACCCCTGGTCCATAGAACTGGAAAGGTTACTTAATGAAGAACATTATGTAGGTAACACAGGTAATACAGGGACTCCTTATTTTTAGTTAGTCAGATGAATCATATCCTAGGATACTGAGAGTCAGGTGAATCTCACGAAACGTTTTTTATGAATTGCTAGAGAATCCTAATGGGAGTGTCAATGGGAATAGGGCCATTTCCTTGGCAGCCTCTGTTCTATGGAACACCTTTCCCACTGAAGTCCATCCTTTTACTTTTCCATAAAGCCTTAAAGACCTGATTTTCCCCCTCCCCCAAACATTGTGGAGATTAGATAATATGTTTCCATGGACTGGCATCAGTTTTTGTTTTTACATTTGTTTTAATGATTTTATTGAGGGCCACATAGAAGTTATACAGGTGACTATATAAATGTTTTAAACAAACATACATATTTGTAATAATGTATGCCACACAACTAGAGAAAGATGGTTTCCCTATTTTTATATATGGCAAAAAATGAGGATTATAAATTTATAATCATTTTGAAAACAATGGTTGTATTACTACAAGCCAGCAAAGGTTTTGACAATAACCAGACTTGTTGTTGGAGAGTTCCTCTGTATATTGTGACAATGTTCTAGGTTTAAGTATATCTTGATTGCAGCAAAACATCTGACAATGTACCTTAGGATAGCTATAAAGGTAAAGGTTGGTACGCGGAGCCCTATCTGCGGGCACATGAGCCATTGCCTAGCTCAGCTCCACTGCGCATGCGCACATGCCTCACACAGGCATGCACGTGGGTGGGGGTCACATGTGCATGTGCACGGGTGGGGGGGAGCGTGGTAAGATGTGTGGCGCCCCCCCCCGCTCCCTGTTTCAGGAGGCTTCAGGAAGGTCTGCTAGGCCCAAAATGGGTTGTCGGGATGGTGATGCGGCACCCCCCTGTGGCCCTCTTTTGGTCCCAGGAGGCTTCAGGGAAGCATAGGTCCAAAACGGTGTGAGGGGAGGTCTCATGTATGTACAGGGGAGCACAGAGGGGAAACGCGGGGGATCGTGCAGGCATTGCATTATGGGTGTGGGCACGCACACGCTTTCGGCATATCAGGAGA